GTAAAAATGTATTTCACAGCTTTAAGTTACTTTAAAAATTAGTTTCTCAAAAAAGGAATGCTTCACACTATTCTAAGCAAGAAATCAAACACCTTACAGTTTAGCATCTTTTTAAAATTAAATAAATGAAACAGGAAGATGATTGCTGGATATGTGCCCAAATACCACCTTAAACAACTCATATTTGGATATATATGTACATCACTTCAACCAGTTTATATTTCACATTTACCTTGACCATGAATGCCATGCTGGTAACTCACTTTACTGATCAAGGTAAGCAGACATGTACCATTGATCAATGTTTTAGCATTTTCTGAAACTATTTCTTATGATTTTGGGTTTTTTTGGTTTTACCCTCTAATTAACTTGTTATTGCTTACAATTGCAGTAGCATGTGCAGTATCAAAAGAAGAGAGGTTCTAATTTTTTAAACTTCTAAAACATAAACAAAAAACAGTTAATACCCAATGGAGTTTGCATAATAGAAGAAAAAAGGATTGAAAATTGCAGGCAATCATCATATAAATATAACAATTTCTTATACATCATGCTTGTGAGATTGTTTTCTGGTTTTGTAATAGATTATTTTTCTTAAGTCAAATGAAAACTTTAAAAATAACTATAAAAAAGCTTAATAACAATTTTATTTTCTGGTCACTTTTCTGAACTAGAAATTCCAAACTCATTTTGTGAGATGGCAAGTAAAAAAAGGCAGACTGTTCTTTCTGATGGACAAAGTACTTCTGAAAACCTTCCATCTTCAAATTCTCTTTAAAAAATCGAAGAAAGAAAAAAAATCTTTCTTTTTCATCCTGTTTCATTACAAAAAACTCTAGAATACACATACACTTTCTGAAAAAAGTTTTGTCTTCAGAATAATTCCAGAAGATTGAAACAATAGTACTAATAATTAAAAAAAAAAACCCAACAAACAAAAATACTATTATATTCTAAGAAATAAATAAAAGTCCTACTTTTTAATTTTTTTCCTTTTCTTTTTCCACAGCAAAGCACAGCGTGCTTTGTTCTGGTATGTGGAAAGTATATACACTTTACCAGACTCCCAGTACAAAAGCTAAGATTAATGTATATATTAGTATGACTGAAATGAGAACACAGACAAATATCCACATAAAGCATGTCAACCAACTTGAGCCTCAAACTAAATTCCTCATTCTATTAATAATTCTTTTTAAAAGTTTTTTCTTTTATTACTGGCCTGAGGCAAATTCAAGTGAGATTATGCTTCTCAAGGGAAAAGAAGCATTTTCTGAAGGAAACATAAAGCTTATCTGAGTATGCTGTAAAAACTGAAGATGTTTGTCCTCTGAGTAACATTTGCACAGTCCAGAAAATTCCACAGCTCCTTCTCTAGTGCCTGTATCACCTGCATACACGAGATGAATACCTGTTTTGTGATCTGCTTAAGCTCTATATTACCAGATTTTAGCTGCTCTTAAATTTGGTTGTGATGGTTCTATCTCTTATTAGACAATTTTGAGAACTCTTTATAGCTTTGATTAACTTAAAGACTTTGACAGGTCCTTATGTCTCCAGATTTTCATTTTGAACTTCATCTTTTTGACCGTTATGAGCCTCTATGGTCTAATTCTCCTATATCATATTGATTTATGATTTTACATATTCAGTGAAAATGCCTTCAGTCCTAAGTCTCTGGCCATCCATTTTCATGTATTGAGTGCACTTAAGCAACAGATGCATCTTTAAGATACCATCACGGTTTTATCTCTGTGGAATATTTATATGCATCAACAGATTTATCATTATTATTTTATAAAATAAGTTGGAAATAATGGTAAGGAACTCTACTGAGTCCTGAGAAAAAATATTCAAGTGGCTTGGCTGATATCTGCTGTAAGAGAGATAAAGTCAAGGAACCAACTGATGAGAAACATGCAAAAAGACAAGCACAGGCAGTAGCTGCCTGCTGTGATATTGCAGCCTAGGAGCAATACAAACTAAAAGAGAAAAACACTGTTCATTAAAAATTATGTGGTATGAATCATTAGGTGGACACAGACAACAGCCATTAATATGGTAAAAGCTGCAAAATAAGGACAGAAAAATATATTAGCATTGGCTATACTGCAGTCTCACAGCCAGGTTGCAGATTGGAAAACAGAAGAGGCAGGTTCTCCTAAGAAATTAAATCTGGTCCCCTGATACTGCTGGCAAGCATACTGTAAGACTCCCTTTCTTAAGTTTATAAAAGCAGATGTTGTTGGTTTTTTCCCATGATTCCCTAAAAACAAAGTTCTAAAAACAAAGACTTGGCACAGTTGAAAGGGGTCCCAAGACAGCATTTCATCCATCCTACACCTCTGAGGCATCAAAAATTTATTTTCATTTCAAGAAGAAATGAAGTCTAACATAGTTACTATCTTCTTAAATAATAAGTTCTCCAGTTCTCTACCCTTTTTTTCTTCTCTTCACAGGCCACAGACACTGAACTATCCAGCTGCAACTCATGCTGCTCAAATGTTGTGAAAGTTTTTACAAAGTTCATCCTTACTGAAGAAGAGGTAAACCAGAAACCTGGAGATTCTCTTGATAGTTTAAAGCTATCATGTAATGTTTGAGAGAACCAGGCACTTCAAATGCCTGAGTTTACTCCCAACCGTGCCTTTAATTCACCTGGTAAATGTTTGGCTCATAACATCTTTTACTCCAGAAAAAACAAACAGTAGATATAGTACAGATTACTACCACTTTCACTGCAACACTTCCCGAGATTTTTTAGCTTCTCAAGTATTCAGAGATAATCTGGAAAAAGTTTTTGAAATAAACTAAATTCACTAAATATCTTGCGCAGCCTAAGCTGAATATCACTATAACCAGTAAAGAGTGGAAAACAGTAGTAAGAAGACACATTAACTTCTCCTTTATTCACTATGGTAAAAATTCATAATTCTAACTATTTGAAAAAATACATACCTACTACAATAAAACCAATAATTTGGTTGAAAGCAGAAGAACATCCAACAAGTTTCGTATTTGTGCTCTCATTCATAAGACTATATTAATATTAATATTTAATCCATTCAACAATTAGAAGAAGACATAAAAATATTTCTGGCTGCAACTTCATAGATTAACAAAACAAACTCTGAGAGGAAAGAAAGTATTTTTTCTCTAACTACATTTATTCACTAGGTCCTGCTATGGTTGTAAAGCCTCTGAGTCAAGACAGGTAACTCAAAGGATCAAATTCAGTGAAACTTAAATAGAACTTTATAGCACAGTCCTTTGTCTTGCAAGAACACCAGGGTTTATAGAGGATTTCTACACTGGATGGGTTTTCACTGGTGCCTAAGTTTTAGCAAGACAACTATGTACTCCAAAGCTTGAAACCATCAACAAAATAATTTTTAATTAATAAAAAAATCTCCTGAACATTTCCATAGCAGAACTGGTAACTAACTATTCTGTGGTGCAGCAGAATATGTGCTAAGACTGTTAATAAATTACAAACCCTAGTACCATTAATCTCAAATTAGTTATAATAAGAAATGTTTACATTAAAAGATTTCCTACTTTCCTCATAGAGCTTTCCAAGAAAACTAGAGCTACATATTTTTGATTTAAGACCATGGAAAGATTCTCTGCAGAATAAAATGCTGCTATATTTCACAAACATTATTATAGGATAAATAGGAACAAATGAGAGAGAAAACCTTCATATTGTGCTCCTTTCAGTGCAAGTCAGGAAGATTTAACAATAGATCTAGACCATATGTCTTCTTTTTTGGTGTACCATCAGAAGAGGCAAATATTTTGGAAGACTTGATAGAATTCTAAGTTATTGGGTTAATTCTTAAAGTTCAACTGAAATCAAAGGACAAGCCTCTTAGATGTTTTTAATTACTTAAAATGCAATTCTATCATCAGAATAATTTTTTAAAAGGGAATAAATCCTGGGAAAATGCACAAAATTTTCAAATTAGAAAAAGGTAATAAATTATCCTTTCTTTAGTATTGAATTACTGCCAATCTAACAAACAGACCACAGATTATGACAAACCTCAGATCTCTCTGAAATTAAGACATGTAAAAATTGGTTTAATTGTGAAAAGAAAAAAAAAATTCTTCTACCTCTACCTACCCACCTCTATTTGTTCAGATATAAGAAAAATCCCCTACATGTTTTCGCATATGTTTCTCTTAATGAACTGGGTATCAGTAAAGCACTTCTACTCATTCAAATCATCCCACTGTACATTCAAAGCCTGACAGCTGCTGGGCTGTACCAAGATCACTGCTGCTATCCAATCTCACCTCAGCACCTTACTGGTGCTTCCATGCACTCACTGATTGGCTCCTTATGTATTTAGATGTGAAACTTAGCACTTTCTCTGCTATACTGAACATGGTACACTGGACTCCTGGGCTCATAGCTAGGATTCCTATGCACTCTGATGATAAAAATAAATAAAAACACTATAAACTCGCAACATCACATCTACATCTGCACCAACCTGGCCTCAAGAAGCTTAAATTTTAGATGATACTGTGAAAAAGCTGAATTATATATATTTCAGACTGATAAATTGTGGATTTCAGCACACACAAACAACACAGAGAGAAAAAAAGTCTAGTGACTACACGTGCTAGGGGTAGGGTTTATAAACATAGATGCTTTATGAACATAGAGCATTAGTGCTGGGACAGGTGGAAATGGCTTCAAGTTTTGCTAGAGGAAGTTTAGATTGGATATTAGGAAAAAATTCTGCACTGAAAGGGTTGTCAAGCACTGGAACAGACTGCCCAGACAAGTGGCAGCTATTTAAAACACACGTAGATGAGGCACCTGGGAATATGGTTCAATGGAGGAGTTGGCAGCACTCTGGGTTAATGGTTGGACTTGATAACCTTAGAGATCCTTTCAAACTTAAATGATTTTATGATTCTATGACACAGAGACACCCGTGGCATATGGCCATAGAAACCTGATGAAGAGAAAGCTGAAAGTGGCTTACCACACTGCAGCCAGGACAGTCAGGACCATTTTCACAGGTCCTGCGCCGTGCCTGGATCCCTCCTCCACACTGAGCCGTGCAGCGCTCCCAGGGCCCCCAGCCTGTCCAAAACACATGGGGGGGGCACAACAAATGCTCGTTGCAGTACCTGTGAGAAGAGAAACAAGGAGGCAAAAAATCTATTTATTATCAAGACGAGGTCTCCTCCAAAACCTCCCTCATTTGCGTAATTCAGACAGATATTTGTACAGGGAAATATTTTATACAAAAGGCCTCTCCCTACTCATTAAGCACGGCACTAACAGTTGTCATGCTTCACAGAGTGTCTAAACATTTGAGTGGGGTTTTTGGGGTTGCAGTTGTGTGGGTGGAGCATTTGTTTGCTTTATTCAGTGACTTTATACATTCCATGCAATGCAGCCACACGATTGTACTGCAGTCACGTAAGCAAGATTGCAAACTACATTATTAAAACCAGTTGTGGCTATCCCTCTGTGGCAGTCAACCAAACAGAAGGCAAACATTCATGCAGGCAGTCTTTTATCCATCTCCAGCTAACAATTGATTAGGATCCATCTATCTCATCTTCAGATAGTTACACTTGCTTTTTGCTTTTCATAGTGTCGCTGCTTCTATGGCAATATAAAAGCTAAGACATTGATTCTAGGCATAAAGAACTGTACTTGTTTGTAATGTGATTACTTTATCTTTTAAAGGGTGTTTTTAGCTATTATAATCTTTGAAGGATTTCAAAGATTTGCAGGCTACAAACTGATTCAGAGGCCTAGTAGGTTCTTGAGGGAAGCACTATTAAGTTGTCAGTATTGTAACAATACACTCAGACATGTGGGAAAGTCCCAGCTTCAGCTGAGTTTTTTTCAATTTTTGTAGAAACCTTAGATTCCTGATTTTTTGAGTGTGCCATCGGATAATTCTAGCCATAACATATGCTGCTTTTTAAGGAACCTCTACATGGGTCCAAAGGGTTTGGGCCATCAGCAACTATGACTAGGGCTCTTTAAGAGACCAAGCTGTTACTTAGATAAAGCAAACACACAGCATAGTCAAGAAACAGACAACCCTGAAGAAATTCTCTGATATTTTATGGATGCATCTGTGTAGCTCTTGTTACAATACTGACTGTCCTGAATGAACAAATCAATGTGATACAGTATTTCCTCAGTGTTTACACCATTTATCCAAAATCCAGTGTCTTCTTGCCCTCCTAACAAGATTTCATCTCTCGGCACTCTTCTACAGTGAAAACTGACTCTAATACTCCAGTTATTTATTTTCTACAAAAAGAGAAATAACAATATGAACAGTTGTCATTTTCAACAAGAACAACCACAATAGGTTTTTTGTTTGTTTTCATAAAGCTCCAATATCTGCAAGCTCTAATTCTTCTTTATCCTTCATTATAAAGAATTTGAACATTTGGAACACCGTGGAGGGCAAAAAAATAATGTTGGTGGTATAAGTAACATACAAAAGTAGACTTATTGCATATACTGGAGCCTAAAATTCAAACTTTGTCCCTAGGTCTGGGCAACTCCATCAAAATCTGAAGATTGGGAGTGACGTTAATAGGGGAGTGACATTTAGTTTCCTGCTTCTGTAGAGTTAAGAAAATTATTCACAGCTTGTATTGACCTTTCCTCTGGAAACTGAGGAAAAAATGCCCAAACCCTCAATATTTATAAATCTGGTATCAGAATTCTTCAGTGCATGATTTGGGTGCATGCACACATTACAGTTCACATTATGCCAACATTAAAGATACATAGGAATGTTCTGTGCCTGGATATTCTTCCCCCAGAACTCAAACTGCACACATTCTTTGCCACATGCAGTCATTTCTGTGAATGTGTGTGATAGTTTCTTCTAGATAATTTGTTGAGAATGTGTAGTTAATAAAATATAGATGTAACATCAGCATTTATTTAGTCAAATTAGCACAAACTTTGCATAATTTCAGTTCTTAATGAGGATGTGTTAAGTTAATTTGAGAGACACATTGAAACTAGAGCAAATCTGCCATGAAGTTCAGAATTACTGATATTCAGCCATGCAGAAGTAAAATTAAGGTACTCGTCTTGCCTTAAAATAAAGGCATGTACAGTGTAGGTATCTAAAAGTGAAGCAGTCATCTAACTTGAACAACAGCTCATGGAAAGAAACAGCCCAGTTAAAAATATGATTTATCTCACCCTAAAGCAATGGTCATATAAATACACCCCTCAATCTGAAGACTGATTTTCTTTGACTATAAATGCTACGTGGGAGACAGATATCTAAGGAGCCATTAAAGGCAATGGAAATCTTAATACAAACTAGGGAGACCAGAATGATTGATTTGAAGATTTTAAGGAATATACAGCAGAAGGACACAAATTACTGTTCTCCACAGACTGTATTGACTAAATTTCTACAGACCACAGTGGAAGTTCAGACACCTGACCCACACATAAACATTCATAGTCGTGAATACCTGAAGTTAGTTATGACAGATCTTACTTTGAGGACAGTCATGCCACAATGCAGTGGCACTTCTAGTGTCTTTGTGCCTGACCTACCACCCTCTGACTTCAGCAGGAGACAGAAAAGAAACCTAATAACAGTGACCTTTCAGAGTAAGGACTTCAAAGGGCTGGCAATTCTGTTATCCAACACTAATTAGAGATGCAGTTGAAAAAAAGCCCTAAAATCTCTATGCCAACTGCTTCACTTCAAGTCAGGAAATAGTTTTGGGGTTTTTTTTTAAGTCAACACAGTCAATTTTTCCTTCTTTTTTTCCAGGAAAACAAAAAGAAAAGAAAAAAAAAAAAGGAGAACAAACCAAAAACCAACACAGCATACAAGTAGAATCTTATTTTAATTTCAGCCAACCAGCCTCTGAAAACATCAGGTATGTTTTCACAGCTAGAGACATCCCTGCAATTGATCTTTGAGAACTGTGCTACAGCATGGGGCTTTGAGCCAAGTTTCATTATATCTGTTCTTGGCTGCATTTCAAGTCACTCAGCAATCCTTTTTCCCTTTTGCTCTCTCTTCCCCTCTTAATTTTGTTCTCAGGACCCACAGGGCTAACGTTTTACAGTAACTCAACAAAACATGCAATGCAAGAAACTTGAATCTGTGAAACCACTGCCCTCTCCCCTAACCTAACTGCAGTGAGGTCAGAATGGAGAACAGCCTAGAGAAATGTGGGTTTTGTACAGTGACCCTTCACATATCCCTTGAAGTGAACCCAAGTTCAAATGCCCTAATAAAGGAATTGTCATACTGGGGGAAGGGTGAACATCCTCTGTCCAGTTGTATCCACAGCTATTAGTGCCTACAGCAAATTTTACAACTACAATTTTAGCGCAACTGGCATTACTATTTTTGTTTCTATAGAGACCTCAACCTTTAGTAAGACATAAATTTATTCAATTTATTTCAGTGCTGCTATCATGCACTGAGTACTACAGGCTAACTATATGACAGATAAAAATATGCCCTTTTTATTCCACAGAGAGATGTTATTTAAACAAATACTTTGTAATTTTGAACTTGAACTACATTATACTACCATGTGTTTAAGAAAAACAAACTAAGCTTCATCCCTGTCTGCCCCTTCCTGTGCAATGTATTGTTCTGTGGTGGGTAGCCGTGATCACCAGCTGGTGATTTACTGGGATGCACAGACTATACCGAGGCTGATGGGAATGCCAGATTCCTTTAGCTGAAGGCAGGTGCATGACATGCACACGCCCTACTGGACTGAGATTGTTACACTGACAGAAACACCCACCCAAGAGACTGTGGAAGGTGGCATGTGGTCCCAGGGGCTTCTGTGGAAGAGGAGGGAGCAGAGAAAGGAAGGAGAGTGGGAACAGACACTTCCCAGCAGACAAGACATCCATGGGATTGCAAGCAAGCCTAAAGCCTTGTGGTGTTTAAGCTGCTCTGCAGAAGTGAACTGGGCTTGTTCACAGTGCTCAGAAACAAGCAGTGCTACACAGAGCAGGCACTTGACCCTCAGCAGTTCCTCTTTCTCACGGAAACAAGCCCAAAAGCTGAATGTTTGCAGAGAATCACGTACAAAATAATGCAAGAATATATCCTGCTTCTAATTGTTTTATACACCCCAATATACCCAGGGCTTTCAAACATTTACTCCCTGTCTGCAGCCAATTTACTTTTCTAATTGCCATATTTTTTTCTGTTCTTTCCTGTGTAATAAAAGGTAAGTGCATCCACTGAAAGCAAGGGATTGTCATTTTAATGTCCCTCATTTCTGCGCAGATAGGAGGGGGAGCACTGGACTTAATGAGGCCATATCTACAGCATCTTCCACAGAAAGGAAAAACATCCTCACTCCATGATGTTGTCAAGACAGGCAGGATACTACAGACTCTATAAACTAAGATTTAGAGAATCTCCAGCAGCTTTAGTGAATATTTCTTGTACAGGAAAAATCAGAAAAATTAAGCCCCTAAGGAATTCATCAAGATGTTCTCCATCTGGAGTCTTAACTATAAAATTATTATCTGATTAGCAAATTTTGTTGCAATGTTATTTTTACTCCCTCTCCATATTCTGTCTAAATGCACATTAGCTGCACTTTTGACCTACTTCTACAAAGCGTATTTGCTTTGTAATATGAGTATTTGCTGCTATCTCTCAACTGCTTTCCCCCCTTCCCACACACCCCTTTAGCAGCAGAGCATGAAGCAGTTTAACCAATCTTCAGTGCCTTAAATTGGCAAATATTGCCACTGATTTTAAGGGAATGACCAGCAAGCATAGAGCTGCCTGATACATTAGCCATGATAGGATCATGGCTTTCATGAGGTAAAACAAATATATCCTAGACAAACATTTAGCTCTTAACACATGAACAAATACTCTCAAGCTTAATATGTATCCACATCTGGAGGTAAATTTACCTCAGATATACGCTGCCTTTTTTGTGTTTGCTTTCTATGGAGTTATGTACTGGATTTCTACTGAAATCACTGTTTGTTGAAAAGCTATTTCAAAGTTTGGCACGTAGATGGCTGTGGAAACTGAATCCTATATTTATACCCCTGAACATGTGAAGGTGATTAGAGTACACACGTTTACAAAGACAAATGCACTCAATGTGTAACCCAACTAATTCAAATTTTTACTAATACTACATATATATTCATTTTACATATGAGCTGGGTCATCAAAAAAGTGAGCTATGAGGCTGTTTATAAACATTAGTTGATTTAAATAAGAAAATTTGAGAAGTTGCTTCTTGGCACTTTGGACACAAAATCAGTAAATGTTTCTCAGGAGTTACTGCACATGTAATATTTGTTCAGCCTGCCTAAATGTTATGGGCTCAGAGGAACTGTTTCCATTTGGTGCTGATGTAACTCAGTGAGAGTGAAACAGTGAAATAATCCAACTGTAAATGCTGGTACTCCGCTGCCCTTCCAGCTCAAAACAAGCTGGCAGAGCCATGAGGACACTCATTAATGGCCCCAGCCAACTTCCCCCGGGTCCTCCACCCACACCAATGGGCCACAGAGCTCTATTTTACCTGATCCTAACCCTGGCCTGTGGCTTAGCTTCCTACCTGGACTTCTGTCATTGTCATGATGTCACTAGAATCTAGACTCTTGGTTGGATCTGGTCACAATCTCCATTCTTACCCTGTTCCCCTGCTGTGGGTGATGGGATGGGCCCTGGCTGGCAAATATCCCAGGACTTTCTGCTTTTTACAGCTCTGAAAAGATTTATCCAAGTACTTGGCTTAGCACTGACAAAAATCCTGGCAAATAACTGATGCCTCATTCCTCTAGCTGCTTTACAAGTTATTTGACAAAATTTCCTAACTTACCACACCCTCTAAAAAATAATTAAAGGCACTTAAAAATAATTAAAAATATCAGGACATAACATGAATAACAAACAAATCCAAGGTAGAGGCAAGAAGGTCAGCTGTGAGCAAGCTGTGAGTAAGAAAGGTGCAGGGGTACTGGGAGTGAAGGGTCTTTCAAAGAGACAAGAAACAATGACAGAAGAACTCTTGAGGAAAAAAGGCATCCTGAAGTAAACTCACAGGCATATTCATCCCAGATTGCTGCTGAACTGGATGGAGATAGAAAGGACAAATAAGCTGCAGAGTACAAAAGCAAAGTAACATAAACTTATTGTTCCTTCAGAACTGTTGCATTCCAAAATTCAATCCTTCTGGACTGCTATTATTTCAACTCATCATAAGTTACTTTCCAGTTTGTAACTGCTTTTACAGTGCACCCATTCCCCTAAAGCTCATATAATTAAGAAAGTATTTCTCATGGTTTTCTTTATTTCTGTGAAACTTTTTATCAAACTTTTATTCCATGTTAAACTAAAATGAACAATTACTATTACCATCTATAGTCCCTCACCCCAAAGTCTCTCTAAACTCAATATTATTTTTCTATGTTTAGTCTCGTTGTGTCCTGCCCTGGATTGACCTCTCAGTTCAGGAAAATCAATAACTATTATACATGCTGGGACAGAGCTAAATAACTCTATGTTTGGTGGTGATGGCTTTCTGGTTGGGCAACCTATTTTCAGAAAGCAATTTACAAAAGAGCAAAATCGTCTCCTCTGGAACAAAACGGTAAATATTCATGGCCTTGAAACAGCGAGAAATGTTCATGTGCTCTGTGATACTGATCCTTTACATTTAAGAGTTAGAAAGACCAGGTCCCTGGTGATCCGTTAATACATAAATGTGTGATGCAACCGTGCTTCAATGAATCTCTTAATCTGAAGAAATGCTGGAGTTGGTGTTTAATTAAATGCCTCACTGAAACTCTTTATAAAGGTTACTGACTTTAGTTCACGTCCAACAGCAATATAGGATACTACATCATCCATACAGAAACACTGAGGTAAGCTATAAGTGCATATTGGGAGGAAACATATCTGCATACATCTCATGGAATGGATGGCTACAGGACTCCAAATTTTCACACCAGTGCAAGTCTTCTGCTATCTAGCTTTCTGGTATGCCTCTGGAAACAACATAATGCATCCAAGAGTTGCAGTTTATCTGAATATATTCTAGCTTGATTTAAAGAAATATTTAATTCCTCTTAAAACTGTGAACACAAAAAATAGAGATGCATGTAGGGTCCACATAAATTAGAGATGTAATTAAGGTGTAAAATAGAATGAAAGGCCTGAACTTAACATTCTGAGCTAGTGACAAAATACTTAGTCTGGTGCTAAAACAGTACATGGTGAAATCAAAATCTGAGCTAATTGGTCTGCTCAGGGATTAAAAAATATATACAAACAATTTAAAAACTCCACCAAGCTTGAAGCCTTACTAAAGACATTTGAGTTCAAGGTGCATTATATTTATTGAATAGAAAACAAAGCCCTTGAAACTTCCTTTCATGTTACAGAAATGCTTAATTCATTTACAACAGAAAAAATGAACTCACAGCATCAGTAACATAGTGCTGTGACTTTATTATATTTTGTTCAGAATTCCAGGTCTTGAGGCTGGATGAGTTAAAATTTAAACACAGTGCAATCAATTTTCAGGGTCTCAAGGGACAGCAGCACGTTGCTTCAGCACAAATCTCTGGTGCTACCAGGAGCTCTCAGGTGGCTCAGGAGGGATGAAGCTAAGAGAAAGATGAAAGATCTGCTGCAGACCCACAGCCTTGTTAGTGGGAATACTGTATTGTACAGCAGTGAAGTTAAAGACAGAGTGAAAGGAGAGGGAAGGGAAAAGCAGGGCAAATAAAGGACAAAATGTCCCATGGAATATAACTGGGTAGAAGAAATTAAAACAGACAATAAAAAAAGATAACTCACCTCTCCTCCCGATTCTGTCCCACACAGACTCGTCCTCCATGTCGGGGGGTTGGATTGCTGCAGGAACGCTGACGGACTTGAAAGCCTATTCCACAAGTGGTGCTACAAGGTGACCAAGAAGTCCATGGTGTCCAGCCTCCATTTCTGGTAGAATAAAAAGCTCAGGCTCTGTCATCTGTTATACATAGCGAATGGCTGATTAGGTGTGACTGACAGCGGAATCTGACCTATTAATATTTCTGTAGAAGTCATTAATACTGCATCGTGCTCCATTTCTTCAAGAATACTGAACCAAAATAAAGGTGCTCTGATAGTCCCTATTCCATGCTTTGTAATCAACAATTGCTAAAATTACCTCCTTACACAAAAATTACACATATGAAGGTATTTAGTTGCTTTTGGTCACTTTGTTCTGGGTAAACTATATATGCAAACTCCTGTATTAATGTTCTGAAGCTGACTTTAAATACATATCATTTTCAGGGAGATTAAAATGTCAAATTTTGCTACCCTGTCTGAAAGGAAAGTGGAGGAAAAGTCTGGAGGAAAAGGAGGCTCAGAGGACACCATATTGCTCTCTACAACTACCTGAAAGGCGACTGTAATGAGTTGGGGGCTGGTTCCTTCTACCAGGCGTTGATCTCTTGATTTCAATAAGGGACAGAATGAGAGGAAATGGCATCATGTTGTGTTAAGAGAGATTTAGATTTCATATTAGAAAAAATTCCTTCACCAAAAGGGATGTCAAGCATTGGAGCAGGCTGTCCAGGGAAGTGGTGGAGTCACCATCCCTGGATTATTAAAAGGCTTGCAAATGTTGTACTTGGGGACATGGTTTAATGGTGGACTAGGCAGTGCTTATTAATGGTTGGACTCAAGCATCTTTTCCAGCCTAAACGACCCAGTGATACTAAAGTAAGCATTAAAATGCATTAGCTCTCAATTTCAACAGGTTATTCTGATAAGATGACAATATCTGGCCTATCATGTAACAAAAAAAGCTAAGAGGGTTCACATGCTGTACCTTGCATTTATGAACTTTTAGAAAGGACTCCTGACCTTCCAATACACCTTAGAAAAAATATTATAGACCAAACATCTGAAAAAGAATTTCATATCCTGTCCTAGGCAAAAACCAAAAACATTATGTACTTCAGCTGTTATCTAAAGCTTTATATGGCTAGCTTGCAGATTTTGTACTGGTAGAATACAAACAGAAATAAAGAAAAATAAAACTCAATTATATTGAGCTTTTGATGTTTCATCATAAAAGCAAAAGTTAAAACAGTGCTTTAATAATATAGCAGTGTTAACAGAAGTAAGATATTAAAACAGTAGTGTAATAATGCCAAAGGTAGAATGCAAATCCGGTCTCAAATCACACTCTAAATTCCCTTCTAAATCTGACAGCTGTTGCTTGATTGTTCAGTATCTCACAGCCTCTTTATCTTTTTTATCACTCTTCTGACCTGATGTTATATAATATAGTTTTAGATTTTTAATAATTTTCCTAAAACAGACTATTTTCAGTTATAGAGCTTGCAGTTACCTTGTGCAGAAATGTAATCAGTTTTAGTCACTATCATGATGTGATTGTGATGTCAAAAAAAAAAGGAAAAACAGAAAGAATCACTGAAAATAGCAGAATTCACCAGTATATATTTCATATTGCAATTAAAGTATGTATAATATATGTATATAATGTTTTAAACATGAACTTCTGATGCAGTTACACATATGTAATGTTCTGAGTCTCTGAAATGATCTGCTCTCACTGATTTTCTCTAGGAGTGGTTAAGTTCCTGAAGAAGAAAAAAGAGTGGCTGAAGAGTTCTATACAGACTGACAGTAGAACTTGCTATCGTGATACAGCTGAAAGATAGAATGAAAACACTTTTCTAGGGCAGAATGGGGGACTACAATGGTAATATGAGACCTCCAAAAGAGTAAGCCATTCTAACTTCCAGAAAAGAAAGTTGTATGAATTACAGAACTGAGAAAAATATCATACTTTGGATATTATCTAACAGTGATATTTTTTTTCTTTCAGAGCTTTTGTTAAAATTAACTGAGGATAACATTATCTGGTGCACAGCATTTGAAATTACTCTTTGCTCTCTGACTCATTCTCTCTTGTATGCAATCTGAGAAAAACTTCCTAATGTCCCATTTTCCCTTTCATGCACAGAATGGAATCAGTAGGTTTCAGAGGAGTTTTCAAAGGGTAGGCTTTATTCTGATTAAGTTAAAAATTTTTAATCCACAAATGATAGAACCTGAAATTGTCTTGCATACCTGGAACAGTTGGCAATCTCCATGGTTGGTCCCTCACACAGCCATCCTCCACACTGGGGAGCAGGACTGTCACACACACGCGTCCTGCAGAGGCAGGAGCCAACACTGGCACCGTCAGTGTGGGTGCAAGGTTTCCACTGTGACCACGTCCCAAAATGTCCATCCACTGTCAGATTCCTCATCTAGAAACAAACACAGCAAAAAAAGCTTACCTGAGATTTGACAGTTCATTCACACAACCCCTTTATTCTGCTGTGCATGCAGGTTTAGCCTTCAGACACCAACAACAGCAGCCTCCACTGGACAGATACATCTTCCAGACAGCAATCTCCCCTTATAATTCCTGTAGCTGCATAATTTAATAACTTCTGACCAATCCAAGCCACTGTATGCCACCATCATAGCAATAACAGAAATCACAGCTAACTGTTAACCTTTCACAACCATGCTTGCCTACCTCTCAATTGTCTTCTGTATTCCCTACTTCATAAAATTTTCCGGTGAAAATGGAACCTGGCGACTGACTGTAAAGCCCAAGATCAAAAATAAGAGCCAGCAGAGGATGAAGAAGAAATGAAGAAGAAATTCTCTACAAGGATGATGAGACACTGGAACAGGTTTCCCATGAGAAACTGTGGATGCCCAATCTGTGGAATTGTTCAAGGCCAGGTTGGATGGGGCTTTGAGCAGCATGGTCTAGAGGAAAGTGCCCTTGGAAGGGGGGATTCAAACTAAATGATCTTTAAGTTTCCTTCCAATGAAACAATTCAGTGATTCTAAACAGATACTAAAATAGTCCAGGGTAACAAAACTAGTGGATCAAACTCAAATCTCCATGACGGGCATATTTTCTTAAAAAAAACCCCAGATTTTGAAGCATATGACATACAGTACCATGTCATAAGGATGAAATATGGTTTTAAATATGACAGTCTCTAAATGCTATATGAAATTATATGTATAAATTCTAGAATTATCTCCAAAAAGCAACACCTAACCCTACATGATGAAACAGTTTTCTCCCACAGAATCAATTCTCAATAGTTTGGAAGGTTCAGACCATTCTCATCTTGACTGGAACGTTTCCTTCAAGCAGCTGTAACACATTTAAAATGAAATCTTTACTGCCCAGCTAAAACAAAATGCACTAGAAAATGAACTTTTCTAAAGAAAATGGGGCAGGACATGGGGAATTCATCTCCCAGCAAAGACAGATTTTCATAATACTCTTTTAGCCAGGTGTTAATCTTGACTAATCTGTGATCCTAAATGGAAATGATGGCCACTTTTTCACTTAATTATTAAGGAATTTGTCTTTTTTTTTTTTTTTTGCCACATGTTAACTTTCAGTCAAGACAACAGCACCAACAAGTGCAGCTAAATAGCATTTAAATTCACTCTTAGTAAGAATAAATATGTATCACTTGCAGTCATGCATTTTTCATCCACATTAATATTTGTTTATATATTGAAACAGGAATTACAGTTGTAGGTTGTCATAACCTATCTGAAATGGTACCTTCCTTTACTATTTTTAGTATTTTAACGGTGGTGAGAAAAATGCACGTTTCACAAATACTTTGAAGATGTAAGAGATTCAATTACAACATAAGGCATGTTTCCACTGACACTCTGGATGTTGGCTGATTCTTTCCACTGTGGCAAAGATACCATAATTTCACTACTAGTTACAATTCCCACCGTTTATTTTTCACAAGTATCACTTGTGCAAGAACAGCTATGTGTATATTCTGTCAGCTACAACCAACATAACCATAATTCATCATTTCAAAATCTGTTGACAGCTATTTATTGAAAATAACTCACCAACCTTTGCTCACATAGAGTTTACATTGTTGGGCTTTGTAAGACAAGAAATACTTCCTTTTAAGTGACAAGCAAACTCATTCTCTCTTACACTGCTGGTCTAACAAATATTTATAATCCATAGACTAACAACTCTATGTCCCCAATCTAATTATGTCAGAGATGTAAAAATGCCTTTACTGCTTTCTGTTTTTGTGCTACATCAAAACATCTTTATTGCTGCACCTATAATTATACACTAAGGTTTTTCTGTGGTTAACAAGCTAACAGTTGTTGATGGTTACCATAATATGTATTAAGTGGCAGAGAAAGTATACATAAAACATAGCTGAAAACTTGAACTCAGAAAGATAAATTGATGACATATTCTCTTTCTTCATTAATTTTCATTGTTCCTGCAAAGATCATCTCACTGGGGTCTCTGCTGTTGCCCATGACTCACCTGCTCTGTCTCTCTGTGAGTATCTCCCTTTCAGAAGTGATATGCAACAATTTCATCATATGACTGCAGAAAAGCAAAATGTACTGATGAGGGGCCTTTGCAGCCCTCACCAGAGCCCGTGTCCATTAACCTTTCACAATCTGACACCTCAAGGGCAAAATCACAGTCAATCAGACCGTCTTGGCATGGTTACACTTTGCTTCTCCTCTTTACTACCTTGTTCCCTTCTGCAGATACCTTCAGACCTCTCTTCCTTCCTAATGTGCTGCAAATATTCATCTTTGTCTCAACTCTGTCTGTACCCACCTCATCTTCCTGCTTAGTGCCTCTGCACTCTGAGTAAAGGTCACATTTTTTAACTCTGTAAAGAGATCTGTGGTTTGAGATTACTTTTTGTGGAATTTAGTGAGTCTGTAGAATTTCCTGAAAATCCTAATGAATTCAGATCCCATACTACACTTTCTCTGAGAATAACTGTAAAAATACAGCCATTTCATGTTGCACACTTCTATTAAATAAACAAGAAAACAAAACCAAAAGCCCAACCAAAACCAAAATCCTGAAAAACATTTTTAAAAATTATTTTTAGTTTCTTTGTAAAAGCTCCAAGATAATGTCAGCATATTTTTAAGTGGTAGATTGCAAGTTATTCCACTGGAAAATATTTCAAAAAAAAACAATAAGCCTTCATGGACATAAAAATTATTGGATGAATAATAGGGATACATGACCAACTGGAAAAAGTGGTCAAAGTGGATACATGTGCTATAGCATTAATTAATGTTCATATTTATGAACAATTGCTGTACTCATGCCAACTGAAACAACAACCTAAAAATCAATTTGAGAATTAAATCAGAGCAAGATAACCAAAATAACAACATTTTTCAAAACTGATCTTCAAACTCCAGAGATGGTAGCACAGACACTCATCCACCATGACATGCCTGTAAGTACTCAGCCGTATGAATAATTCTGTAGGAAATAATTTCTCAAAGGAAACTGGTCACACTTTTTATCCTGGACTAAAATACTGTATAAACAAAAGTCTCTCTGATGCAATTTTAGAAGAAACTGGCCATTTATTAATCTAAACTGCAATGTTAAAAAGATCTGAGTAATTTTACTAAAAATTAAGATATTGGAAGCAATTGGGACCAAAAGAGGGAGACTAGTTTCTCAATATTATGTTATGTTCTGCTTGCAACAGTGTCTTGAATACATTCAAGCACATGTTAAGGATGCACATAGCTCAGTTGCCTACAAAATTAAATTAATTACATCTTGGCTTATATATGCTGTGAGCACAGCACAAAAAAATGCTATAAAAACAAATATTTCAAAGCCTCGCTAAGCAAAATTGTAATTGTTTGCAGTTTGCCAGAATACTGTGTTACTTTAGAGGAAAGTTTCTATGAAGTTTTCCAATCTGCTCAATAATGTGTTACTTAGTGTATAAGGCTTTAAAACAGTAAAGGTGTAAAACCACACTTTTCGATTTAGGTAATTCTAAAATCTTCCTTCTATTATGCAAGCTCAATCTGCTCAAGGACAAAATTTATCTGGAGGTTCACTAGGTCTTTGACTCTTGGATCAGCAGGATAAGCCTCACAGCTATGGATAAATTTCTATGCAAGACTTAGGTGCTCCCCTGCTTTAACTAGAGTGCTCTATGCACAAGTAATATAATAGATAGCAAATAATTGTTTTTCCAGTTGAACAGAACAGAATGGAATTATGCTTTCTAAATTATTCCTCCCTCCATCCCATCTTGGCCTCGTGTTGTACATCTACAAAAGAAAATAAGGCCTAGTGCCACAATTCAAAGACTGAGCACAGCAGGCTGACTACTCATGCAAATTTCAGTAATCACAGTATTTTCCCCAAAGTTGCTCCTGATTTCAGCTCAAATGCTAAAGCAGATGAATTCAACACAGGGTATTTTATTTGTCCTCTGTGTGAGAAGGTGGATGCAAAGGACAGGACAAGACATAAACATTTTTTTTAAAGTTTTAAAAATTCGAAAAAAATGTTTTAAAAATTGCTATTTAATGTCAAACACAGAACACAGGAGCATGTTCTCAAGGCCCTCAGAATCAGTGTAGTGTTTGTGTCTATGAGGCTGTTGCAACACATGTAGAAAGCAAAGTCAAAGCTGGAAGAACTTTATACTTTATACTGATTTTGCACATCTCTAGTTCACTAAACAAAGCCTGGCTTAGGAGAGAGAAGTGTCATCAAGATGTTAAAGGGAGCTTGTAAACACATGGAGATTAGAATATGAATGCCATATGAGTGTAAGTTTATAGATGCATGTGCCCCACTGGTGAGTGGGGACCAGAGCAAGAAGTCCTTACTAGGAATGAAAGCAGAATTGAGTTGGAATGGCTCCCTCTTTATGGGCAGAAGGACAAAGCAGCAAGAATGTCCAAAAAAACCCCAAAAAACAGCACAACAGCACAACAGCACATGAAAGATACATCTTACCCTTCTTTTTGCATGCTTTGGAGTGAGGGAAAAGAATGAATATTAAAATAACACCAGAATAAAATTAAAAATGAGAGATACAAATCAATTTTGTTGGAGCTTTTTATATTATATTGAATTTATTCAAAATAAATTTTTAAAGAGAAGTGTTAAGCCACTGTAAATATAAACCCTGCATTTATTGTAATTATCACCTCTGTCATTAATGTGGGTGAGACTTAACTCATGGAATTCAGCCTTCCAATTCATTGACTTTAGAAGACATTATTTGGCTTTTTATATTAGCAACAATAATCCTAAAAGAACAGATTATACCATTAGTGATTAAACTTTTTCAAAGCACATAATGGAGAAAAAATCTGCAGAGAAAAATATGTCAATATCACTAATCTTAGAAAACATTTGTTTTCAAGATGAGAAAACAGACATTTCAAATAAAAACAATCACCTTTTGAAATTATTCTGAATAATTTTATCATATAAGTAGGAACTCCTAGGTATTCTGCTAGAATCTGATGGGAAAACCTAGGGAAAATGGCATTAAATGCAGCATTCTGAGCTTGAAAAATCTATGCCAGCTCATTTTCATAAAATTCACATGGAATCAAAGGATTTTTGGACTTACTGGACACACGGTAATGCTTTGCTCCCATTGACTCATGCTCAGACTTTCTTCCAGCGTTGTGCATTTCTTCATCACCATGTCCCAGCCACAATAAGGGTCTTGGGATCCAATGCATGCACTGTGGATGAAAACCAGTCAGATAACCAGGACATTTATCTTCATTTGTACTGACCAAAGATTTCTAAATAACGATGTAGCATCTCTTGGTATTTCATAGACAGATAGTGAAATTGATCCCTGTTGTGGTATGGCACAGACAAAATAACCAAAACCAGAGGAAAAATTAATTTGAATGCCTACACAAAGCATTTTTCTTAAATGCATGGCTGAATTTCTCTCTGCATGCATGGTATGTTGTCTAGACAGATTGTTGTACTTAATTACTAGAGAATTACAGAAATTCATAAAGAGGGTATGTTGTCTGCTCCAAGTAAAAATTTGAGGAGTTCCAGTTCTTAGTAATTTCTGTCAGTTTTGGAATTTTAGATATCATCTATTTTCAGAAATCAGAGGACAATGTCTGCTTCTTGAAAATTAATTAGAAAACCTTCTGATCTATTTTCTGCACTTGTATGAAAATTTCTGGAAGTTAGTTTAAGGGGGCACTGGTGGCTGCCATCAACACCTCTTCCATATCACACACTGTCCTCAAAACTCTCTTAGTGGCACATGAGGAGGGAAAGAAAAGGATTACAGAGAAGGATGGTAATACAGTTTCAAACACTCTGAAAAATCCACTGTACAAAGCTAGAAGTTCATTTCCCTAATTAATAGCAGGTTTCTCTTGATAAGGTCTAGCATTAACAGTCTAGACAATAGATCTGCAGCTTCATAGCTAAAGACCCATAAGAAAGGAGGTGCAACTCCCATTATAGTAAAGCACAAAATAATTGGTTTAACCCTTGTAAGAATACCTATAAATTGCACATAAAAATAATGGATTCAAACATTTTTTCTAGATTGTAAAAAATGTTAGAGTGATCATTTTTGTTCAACTCAAATCCACGGGCATTATCTTTCTCTCTTTAATTATCTGTTCCCATCACATCTGTTGACTGAAGGGCCACAGAGATGAGTAAGCAACTGGAGCATCACTCCAGTGAGGAGAGGCTGAGAGAGCTGGGAGAGCTGTTTAGCCTAGAGAAGGCTCAGAGAAGATCTCATTAGTATGTACAAAACCCTGAAGGGAGCATGCAAAGAAGAGGATCCAAGGTTTTCAGTGGTACCCAGTGACAGGACCAGAGATAATGGGCACAAACTGAAACACAGGAGGCTCAACATCATGAGACATCACTGCAGAAAGGGTGACTGAGCACTGGCACAGATAGCCCAGGAAGCTTCTGGAATCTCCTTCCTTGGAGATATTAAAAAGCCACTCAGACATGGCCCTGGACATCTGGTTCTGGGAAGTCCAGTAGCCATTGGACCAGATGACCATCAGCCACCCCTGCTAACCTCAAGTGTTCTGTGATTCTGTCCTAACTAATTTGTCTATTTTATTGATATTTCTATTTATTTCTGACATTCCTCATGCACTTCCACATTAACACCTGACCAAATGCAGACTTACTAATTCCCTGGAGTGTTATTCCAAAATACCATAATTACAAATTTCAAAGAATTCATTTCCACATCCCACTTGGCAATGTGGATTGCCAATACCATGTGGGAGCATAGCTCTCATCTGCAAAAAGGACACAATATAAGAGGCATAACAATCAAAACTCCATGGGTATCCCTAATCAGGATTCCAGCTCAAAAATAAAGCTTTTGGTTTGCAGAATTTGCTGTTCAGAAGAGAATTCCCACTGTTGGCTCCTGCAGCTGTGAACACTTAGCATTTTTGTAACTCAGGCTACACATGTTTCCATTTAACTATCGAGAAAGTGAGAAGGAACATTAATACAAATTATGGAAAGTTTTAAGTGTCTTGGTGTTCCAGAGTTTGCAACATGTGATGTCCAGTGTTCTCCTTCTGAGTATCTCTGATAAAGCATGTGTTTTATGAGAAAAGAATACAAAAACAAATTAAAGGCTGACATAATGCACAATGTTAGCAATGATAAAGTTGAAATGAGAACTTGTGCCTCAAAGCCAAAGTGCTCAATTTTCTAACTTCAGCGTGTTCATATTTATAAATTCAGTTAGTATGCTTTAAAAAAATTTTACTAAAAACAAAAATATTTCAAAGTCTTTTGAAATACCTTTTTACTTAGAACCATACTCCCTCTTTCGTGGAAGTAAGCTGATCCTTCTCCCAGTCTGGTCTTAGACCCCATTTCATCTTTTGCTTTTGTTTTCACTTTACCTTCGATTCAAGCAAACCAAATGACTTGCACCTTTCATTACAAGTCACTCAGAGGTTTTAAGTAAGGTGCTAGAAACATATTTTGACCATTCTTACAATTTTCTGATATCAGAACAGATCCTAGTTCCATGGAAGGAAAAATAGTTCTTGTACTGTGATGACAAAGAATCTTTGATCACTCTGTGAATTTTTCAGTAGCTGACCAGGTTTGGAGTGCTCAGCAGCAAGGTAAAATGAGGTGAATCTTTTCAGAATTTCGTTAAGAAGATCCACTGAGCATATGAAAATTATAATTTTAAGAAGTTAATAATTCAGCTAACCCCATGCAGATGACAAGAGGATAACTTCCCCCACTAATTAGAAGCATTACCATTCTTCAATAACGTTTTTCTTTACACTACAATATAGAAATTAACTCTCTAAACATATTAACTATTCCAAACAAAGCAGCAAGAAATTTTTTCAGAGAAATATTCCTCACATGAGAAACTCTAGTTTTTTCACTAATATGCTAATTCATTGTCCCAGTCATTATTATATCTAAGTCTCATATTGTAAAACGTTTAATTTTTAAAATCTTATATCTAGATGGAAAAAAAACCTTACAAAACTGTATTTCAGTATCATCAACCTCCTTCAGCTCTCTGTGTCAGACATATTCATGAAATGTGGCAGGACCTGACTTAAATAGCTGCCCCGTTCTCAGGTATTTGCACAACAATTCTTTTCTGTTCTCCACCCTGCCTCACATCTTAGGTTTTCTTATTTATTTTTTTTTCAGATCACCTATATCTCTGAAAAGCGGACATAGTTTCTTTAAAATTAAAAGAAGAGAGGTAATATGAGGGTAAGTTTTTATCTGCCTAATGCCTTAATGCCTAATTATGTCACCTTTTAAAACCATCTTCTTTCCTTTGAGGGATGATTCCTTTATTTAATGTGTGAATTATAGCAGCTAATTATTTTTATATACTATGCCTAGATAAAACAAAGAGACACATAACAAAAAAAGTTAACAGAGAAAAAATCAGAAAGAATAAAGTGTGTAAGTATAAAAATATCAGAATTTCTATCTGAAACGTGAAATATAAAGGGACTATTCATAACTCGCAATTACGTGTCTTTAGAAAAATTTCATGCTGTTTTAATTCTTTTTAAAGGAATCTCTCTCACAAGAGACAGCAGTAAGAGGAACAGCTTCAACGTGCACATGTAATAACAAAAAAAAACCATACATGTCTGTCAAATTTCTGTCAATTTTATGTATGGAAAGTAAAAAATCAGATACCACTACGCATCTTTATCTCCTTTGCCTCCCAAATCTCTATCTAAATTAAACCCATTTTAGATGCTACTGTAGAAAAATTAGATAAATTTTAAAGTAGGTATAAAGTCTTTCATTTGACAGGGCCCTTTCAGACTGTCACATTGCAAATAGAAGAGCTGGGTAATATATTTTGTCATCTTGTCTCTAGAAGTATACCTTACATCTCAATTTCAGCAGAGAATTAATGTTTTGTCTGTTAATCCCAGTGGGCACTAGTTCACATCTCTAAGACTTCACATGATTTGTCCTAGCACTCCTAAAACAGGCAATTTTGTGCAGGAAGAAAATTCAGGAATAAAATAAAACTGGTTCATTCGAAGACTCTTGGTGCCACTTACCCTACTGAGTCAGCACCCTCTGCAAAAACATTCAACAGCTTTTGACTTGTCCTGACTGATTGTAATTCTGCTCTCTGTTGTCACTCCACATTTTTTTACCAAATGTAAATGATAGCTAGCAGAGTGTGTCTCCTGCAAGGCACTCATTTGGCAGTGATGGCTCAGTGTGCCTGCTGACAGTGGTGCTACACTTTAGCAATGGGCTTTCACTGACTACTAACCGAACCATAACCTCACTCTAAAGCAAGTCAGTAAAAACAGGTTATTTCTTCAGCTACTTTATAATTATCACCAGGTAGGCCAGGAAAATTGGCCTACTTCAGTTATATTTGAGATGATTTATTGAGTCAGAAAGTAAGACAGAACTGAACACAATTCAGAGCAAAACACGTTGAAAATCCTATAGAGTTTTGGACTAAAAATAATTTATGTGTGATCCAAAGAAAAAAGAAAAAAAAACAAAAAAAACCCCCCAAAAAACCCCAAAAAACCCTTACATTAAAAGCTGTATCATAGAATCATTAATTTCGAAGAGATTTTTAAATTTCCTCTGAGGGGAAGAATATATTCCCATATTAATATGAAAGTGCTAATCAGGTATACTCTTGAGCTGTAACGTTTTATTTATACAATATATATAAATGCAAGAGTTGCATCTTCTAAGACTAAGAAACATTTTTCTGTCTTTACCTATAGAAAACATTTCGAAGAACTGAGTCTCCTGACCCTTTCAATAATTTCTACTGAAATGACCATGCCTACATAGTCCCAATTACCATCAAATGTGACCTGACACTTTGTATATCAGAACTGAGCCAGGGTCACCATCTAATTTTGCAGAAGACAGATTCATCACTTCAAATTCAAACAGAAAACTGAACCTATAAGCCTTTCTCATGTTCCAGATGCACAGTTCTATCCATTTCTGAATTAATACATGAATGTGATACCAGACAAAGGTACCTATCAGTGTTTTCATTACTACTGGCTTTGCAGCTATGTACTTATATATGTGCACAATGAAGAACAGGCATCTAAAGATACAGATGAATGATGCAGAAGAAGATAAATGGTAGGGACACAACTTATAAAATCCCTAGTAGCTCAAGCTAAGATGCATGTCAAATATTCAGAATACTTAACTCAGAATACTCAGA